ACTCCAAGAGCACAACGACGACTCATCCAAGAGGTCATAAAAGAACCCAGAACAACATCTAAAGAACCGCAGGCCTCACTTGATTCAATTAAGGTCAGTGTTCATGATTCAACAATAAGAAAGAGACGGGGCAAAAATGGCATCCATGGGAGAGTTCCAAGGCAAAAGCCACTGCTGACCAAAAAGAACACAACGGCTCGTCTCACATTCGCCAAAAAATATCTTGATTATCCCCAAGACTTTTGGGCAAATATTCTGTGGACTGATTTGTGAGTGATTTGAAGGTGTGTGTCCCGTTACATCTGGCATAAAACCAACACAGCATTTGATAAAAAGAACATCATAGCAACAGTCAAACATGGTGGTGGTAGTGTGATGGTCTGGGGCTGGATGACTTCCATAATTGATGAAAGCATGAATTCTGCACTCTGTCAGAGAACCCTGAAGAAGAATGTCCAGCCATCAGTTTGTGACCTCAAGCTCAAGCGCACTTGGGTTATGTAGCAGGACAATGATCCCAAACACACCAGCGAGTCCACCTCTGAATGCCTCAAGAAAAACAAAATTACGTTTTTGGAGTGGCCAAGTCAAAGTCCAGACTTAAATCTGATTGAGATGCTGTGGCATGACCTTAAACAAGTCCATTCATGCTTGAAAACCCTCCAATGTGGCTGAATTAAAACAATTGTGCAAAGAAGAGTGGGCACAGCGATGTGAAAGACTCAATGCCAGTTATCGCAAACGCTTGATTGCAGTTGTTGCTGCAAAGAGTGGCACAACCAGTTATTAGATTTAGGGAGCAATTACTTTTTCACGTAGTGCCAGGCAGGTTTGGACAGCTTTTTTCTCTTAATAAAGGAAATCATTATTTCAAAACTGCATTTTGTATTTACTTGGGTTATCTTTGTGTAATATAAAATTTGTTTGATGATCTGAATCTTGTAAGTGTGACATATGCAAAAAAAATTTAAAAACAGGACTGTTTTTCACAGCACTGTATATATACAGTATATATTCATGTTTACTGGCAAATTTATTTTAGTGGATTTAATGTTCATTTAAACCTGGAAATGACTGAAGTTTTAAGATTTTGACTCTAAAAACAAAGAAACATTATGATGTAAAATGATGAATTTGTTATCTGTTGGTCAGCAGTAAATAACTGATATTCAGCATCATTTCAAAGCTCTTTTCATTCATTTACATTTATTCATTTAGCAGATGCTTTTATCCAAAGTGACTCTCATATGCAGCTGTTATTCTGATAATATCATTTTGTAATGAATAATTCAGTATTAAATGAGAAAATAATGCAAAATAGCTTTTGTAACATTAGAAATGTCTTTACTCTCACTTTTGGTCAATTGAATGTGCCCTTGCTGAATAAAAATACAAAGTTCTTACTAGCCCAAAGTGTTGCATGGTAGTGTATATAAATCTGTGTTCCGTCAGAAGTGCATTGATAGATGAATCAACACCCAGGTTCTCTTTGATGATGTTTGTCCTCTGTAATGTTCTGAAATATAATTGAATTTGCTCTCGGTGTTTGATCTGAGCGTTTGCACTGATATGCTCTTTAGTTTATTAAAAACATCTGAATGTCGCCTTTATGGTCATAGAGACGAGCACCAACAAACCTTTGACCCTCTGAGCTCTGTTAAACCGTCTGTGTGTTTCTGCGCTTCTGGATGTTGGTCTTTATATGTCAGAGATATACTCTAAATCAGTGTAAACACATATGTGATGAAGGCTGCGGCTCTGTTCCAAAACCTAGTGAGCAGCCTATGTAGGGAGCAGCTTCATTCTCTTAAATCAAAGGCTGTTCCAGAAATTACTGCAGTTTGGCCACGGAGAAGACAATCCCAAGATGCACTGCAGTGAGCTTGTGAATTGTTATTTTATTTTACACAAAATTTGTGTGTGCTGTGTTTTTATATGCTTTCATGTTGTTACATTAGCAGCATGGAGTTCACAAATCACTTATTTTATAAGGGTCCATGTCAGTTGAAATGCGGCAAAAAATTATTTTAATTATTTTCCAGTACAAATATTGAAACATTCTTAAGTCAAGACACAAGCAAAATGACAAGATATCAAGTCATGATTTCTGAAACATCTATAAAAATGGAAGTTGGTTTAAAAAAATGCCAATAGGGTTAAAAATATTGACCATATTGAAAGAGATTTTTTTCTTTTTCTTTGTAAGCATAAACTCACTTCATTTTGATAAATTTTTAGAAATAATTTGTAATATCTTGCTTTTTAATGGATCCCCAGGTAACACATTTAGGTTATTAAACCATTACACAAACATTGTTTTGAAATATTTCTAAAACATTGAAATCTCCTAAATTTGATTTTTTATATTCTAATAATGTAAAAATGTCTTGTCTGGAACGTTATTTACCATTTTTTAACTGCTTACACACATTTTCAAAACTTGCCTCTTTTCTTTTCAAAACTTTACACACCAATCCAAGAATTGCACACAAAATGCAAAATGCCTCACATCTCTTGCAAAATGAAGCACTGCACTCAAAATATCACAAACGCATCTCAAAAGCAAACATTTGCAAACACCTTTGCCATACAGCTGTTATTCTGATAATATCATTTTGTAATGAATAATTCAGTATTAAATGAGAAAATAATGCAAAATAGCTTTTGTAACATTAGAAATGTCTTTACTCTCACTTTTGGTCAATTGAATGTGCCCTTGCTGAATAAAAATACAAAGTTCTTACTAGCCCAAAGTGTTGCATGGTAGTGTATATAAATCTGTGTTCCGTCAGAAGTGCATTGATAGATGAATCAACACCCAGGTTCTCTTTGATGATGTTTGTCCTCTGTAATGTTCTGAAATATAATTGAATTTGCTCTCGGTGTTTGATCTGAGCGTTTGCACTGATATGCTCTTTAGTTTATTAAAAACATCTGAATGTCGCCTTTATGGTCATAGAGACGAGCACCAACAAACCTTTGACCCTCTGAGCTCTGTTAAACCGTCTGTGTGTTTCTGCGCTTCTGGATGTTGGTCTTTATATGTCAGAGATATACTCTAAATCAGTGTAAACACATATGTGATGAAGGCTGCGGCTCTGTTCCAAAACCTAGTGAGCAGCCTATGTAGGGAGCAGCTTCATTCTCTTAAATCAAAGGCTGTTCCAGAAATTACTGCAGTTTGGCCACGGAGAAGACAATCCCAAGATGCACTGCAGTGAGCTTGTGAATTGTTATTTTATTTTACACAAAATTTGTGTGTGCTGTGTTTTTATATGCTTTCATGTTGTTACATTAGCAGCATGGAGTTCGCAAATCACTTATTTTATAAGGGTCCATGTCAGTTGAAATGCGGCAAAAAATTATTTTAATTATTTTCCAGTACAAATATTGAAACATTCTTAAGTCAAGACACAAGCAAAATGACAAGATATCAAGTCATGATTTCTGAAACATCTATAAAAATGGAAGTTGGTTTAAAAAAATGCCAATAGGGTTAAAAAAATTGACCATATTGAAAGAGATTTTTTTCTTTTTCTTTGTAAGCATAAACTCACTTCATTTTGATAAATTTTTTGAAATAATTTGTAATATCTTGCTTTTTAATGGATCCCCAGGTAACACATTTAGGTTATTAAACCATTACACAAACATTGTTTTGAAATATTTCTAAAACATTGAAATCTCCTAAATTTGATTTTTTATATTCTAATAATGTAAAAATGTCTTGTCTGGAACGTTATTTACCATTTTTTAACTGCTTACACACATTTTCAAAACTTGCCTCTTTTCTTTTCAAAACTTTACACACCAATCCAAGAATTGCACACAAAATGCAAAATGCCTCACATCTCTTGCAAAATGAAGCACTGCACTCAAAATATCACAAACACATCTCAAAAGCAAACATTTGCAAACACCTTTGCCATAATATTAATTCCTGTTAGATTTTTGTGTGTTACATAGAGAACTGTGTGTTGTGTTTTGCAGAAAGTGTTTTATGAAATTGAAAACTGAGTCAAAGGCTGAGCATTAGTGTATGGTTTTGCAGATTTGGTGTGTGCTTCTGCCATTTGAGTGTCAGCTTTCAGAAATTATGTGACAAGTAAAGATTTTGTTTTTAAACTGTTGAAAAAAAACTGTAAAGGTTACAAAAACATTTCTTAAAACATGCAAGTACAAATAACACATTCCGGGAATGTTGTTCTAAGAATGTTTTCTCTCAACTTTATGAGAACCTATATCAAATATGCATAATGTTGTAAGAACGTGCAATAAACATTACTTTAAAAATGTTTTGTCCAGTAAGAAAATCATCATTTGCAGTGTATGTAGGCAGTAATGCGTCTGATTAGATTTTGTACACAAATCTATATCCTCTTTCTCTCAGCTCAGCAGGTGTGGCACTCCCTGCTCCATACTACTCTCCTAGTGAGGAGGACGAGAGGCCCTTCATCTGCTCTCTGCCGCAGGATAATGGCATCATGTCGTGCAGTGACGTGCCGGCGCGGCGTGTGGCGGGACATCAGTGCTGTCTGGAAGTAGATGATCTCCTGCACCATCAGGCACTGGGCCTCGTGACCGAGCCTTTTCTCAACGCCAGCGCCGTCGTCCCCGGGCTCTGTGTCAACTGGAACCGATACTACACACGCTGCCACACCGGACACAGAAACCCACACAAAGGAGCCATCAACTTTGACAACATCGGATACGCCTGGATCGTTATATTTCAGGTATCTGCTGGAGATCATTTCCACCATAGAACTTGTGAAAACAGTCATCCAGCTGATTGATGTTCTTTGTTTTTAATGTGAACTTATTGGAAGCAAACTTCATTTCCAGAGAACTGTTTGAAGTGTTTTTTTTCCTTTCCTGCAAATGATGGTGTGTTTAGGTTATTACTCTGGAAGGCTGGGTGGAAATAATGTATTACGTCATGGATGCTCACTCATTCTACAACTTCATCTACTTTATTCTGCTGATTATAGTAAGTACACAAACTCACACAGATTGATGAGTCTGTTAAAAGACCAATATAGAGTGTTTTATCTGACATGCTGATGATTCATTTGATATTGTCATTGGTGCTTCAGGCCTATTTGATGTTCTTTTACTTGTTTATGGATGCATTTATCCTATATAGATGCATGTAGTCATATGAAACTTAGCATATAGTATTCATCCAGCTTAATGTGGGTATCCCATAATAATCCTGCAGATGGTTCTACCTGTTCTGTGTGTTTGATGTGAGACAGGTGTTTGCAATGAGATGGGTTTGTGTTTGCTGTGAAATGAGTGAGTGTCTGCAGTGAGATGAGTGAGTGTTTGCAGTGAGATGAGTGAGTGATTGCAGTGAGATGAGTGAGTGTTTGCAGTAAGATGAGTGAATGTTTGCAGTGAGATGAGTGAGTGTTTGCAGTGAGATGAGTGGGTGTTTGCAGCGAGTCAGTTTGGTCTTTGCAGTGAGGAGTGTGCTTCTCTCTCTGAATCTTTGCGTAACTCCACAGGTCGGCTCGTTCTTCATGATAAACCTGTGTTTGGTCGTCATAGCGACTCAGTTTTCAGAGACCAAACAGCGTGAGCATCAGCTGATGCAGGAGCAGCGAGCCGCCTGTCTGTCCTCTAGCACGCTGGCCTCGCTGGTCGAACCCAGCGACTGCTACGAAGAGATCTTCCAGCTCGTCTGCCATGTCCTCCGCAAGGCTCGCAGACGCACTGCTGCCTTTTTCAGGATACTCTGCCGCAAACCACCGGAGCAGATGCATATGAAAACAAACATCAACGGAGGAGAAAAGTGCTTCCAACATCATGGTGAGGAGGAGAGGGGGGGGGGGGTTGGATGGCAGAATGAATGGATGGATTTGCAGCTCTATGCTCTTCTCTCACTGCACTACAGATGGAGCCACACCTTCCGCTTCAGCAGCCAATCAGGAGACAGAGGAGGAGACAGCCGAGGAGAAAGACAGGTGCATGAGGGCAGAGGGGGCGTGTCGGAGGCGGAGCAGAGAGCTGTGGATGGAGATGAGGGTCAAACTGCGGGGCATCGTGGAGAGTAAATACTTCAACAGAGGAATCATGGTGGCCATCCTCATCAACACCATCAGCATGGGCATAGAGCATCATCAGCAGGTCAAACACACACACACACACACACACGTCTCATAGATGCAATGTTTTTTCTATAGATGTAATGATATTAGTTAAAGCCCAACCTATTTACCTGCTGATATCAGGTGATTTGGCTGTCCATGTGTTCTTTCAGTGATTCTTGAATGAGCTGAAAAACATGAGGATGAGTTGATGAGAATCTCTGTGTCTCATCATTGTTTCTCTTCATTATTTCAGTTAATGATCTGTTTCATGTTCTCGTTCGGTGTGTGTGTTCAGCCGGAGGAGCTCACTAATGTTCTGGAGATCTGTAACATCGTCTTCACCAGTATGTTTGCTCTGGAAATGATTCTCAAGCTCACAGCATTCGGCTTCTTTAATTACCTGCGCAATCCATACAACATCTTTGATGGGATCATCGTGATCATCAGGTAATTGCCAGTGAAACACCTAATGCTTTTCTGTTACATTTAATGTATTTAAGGGTTTAATACACCTTAAACCTGTGCACTCATGTAGAAGTTTGGAGTTGGTAAGACTTTGTAATGTTTCTGAATGAAGTCTCTTCTGCTCAGCAAGGCTGCATTTATTTGATCAAAAATACAGTAAAAACAGTGAAGTATTATTCCAATTTAAAACAGCTGATTTCTATGTGAATCTCTGTTAAACTGTAATGTATTTCTGTGATGCGCAGCTGTATTTTCAGTATCATTACTCCAGTCTTCAGTGTCACATGATCTTCAGAAATCATTCTAATATGCTGATTTGCTGCTCAAGAAACATTTCTGATTATTATCGATGTTGAAAACAGTCGTGCTGCACAATATTTTTGTGGAAACTGTGATACATTTTATTTTTCAGGATTCACAGATGAATAGAAAGTTTAAAAGAACAGCATTTATTTTAAATAAATGTTTTTATAAACATTATAAACATCTTCTTTGTCACTTTTGATCAATTCGATGCATCCAGTTTGTATATCAACAAGCAAACATAATCATGTTTTTATCAACACACTTATCTGTAGTTTTGAAAGTGCAGCTTCAAAATGAAAATTTTACATGTTACCATGAGATCTGTGTGATAGAATAATTTCCCTGAACTTCAACAAAGCAAGCTGACTACTTGAATAACAGATGTTTGCGCATAAGAATAGAAGTGCGTTCAGTAATGGCCGTCCCAATCGCAGCGTGTGTGAGATCGTGGGTCAGTCTGACGGCGGTCTCTCGGTGCTCCGCACCTTCCGCTTGCTGCGGGTCCTGAAGCTGGTTCGGTTCATGCCGGCGCTGCGCAGACAGCTGGTGGTTCTGATGAAGACGATGGACAATGTGGCCACATTCTGCATGCTGCTGATGCTCTTCATCTTCATCTTCAGGTGTGTGTGTCAGTTTGAGACTAATGGTACCACACTACTGGAGTATTTTTGAATCACACGTCTCTCTCTGTGTGTGTGTGCAGTATTTTGGGAATGCATATATTTGGCTGCAAGTTCAGTCTGAAGACAGACACCGGAGACACGGTCCCGGACAGAAAGAACTTTGACTCTCTGCTGTGGGCGATCGTCACAGTGTTTCAGGTAAAGTGAGAGAGGCATCCCACACACACACACACTTAACATTTAGTAATTTAGCAGACGCTTTTATCCAAAACGACTTACAAATGATGACAATAGAAGCAATCAAAATCAACAAAAGAGCAATAATAAGCAAGTGTTATGACAAGTCTCGGTTAGCCTATATATATATATATACAGTATATATATATATATAGCTAGTGTTATATAAGGCTAGTGTTAAAGGCCTTTTTAACACACACACTCAAATAAAGATGGAAGAGATGTGTTTTTAGCCGATTCTTGAAGATGCTGGGATTGAGTTGGGCAGGTCATTCCACCAGGAGGGAACAGTTAATGTAAAAGTGATTTTGTGCCTCTTTGGGATGAACAATAAAGCGACGTTCACTTGCAGAACGCAAGCTTCTAGAGGTACATAACTCTGAAGTAATGAATTTAGGTAAAGGGCTGCAGAGCCAGTGGTGGTTTTTTAAAACATCAATGCTTTGAATTTTATGTGAGCAGCAACTGGTAGCCAGTGCAGATTGATGGACAGAGGTGTGACGTGCATTATTTTCGGCTCGTTAAAGATTAATCTTCCAGCGGCATTCTGGATTCATTGTAAAGGCTTGATAGAACTGGCTGGAAGACCTGCCAAGAGAGCATTGCAATAGGACAGAACAAGAGCTTGAATAAGGAGCTGTGAAGCATGTTTTCACACACACACACACACACACACACACACACACACACACACACACACACACACGAATCTCTCCTCACATGTGTGTGTGTGTGTGTGCAGATCCTGACTCAGGAGGACTGGAACGTGGTCCTGTATAACGGCATGGCCTCCACGTCTCCTCTGGTGGCTCTGTACTTCGTGGCTCTGATGGCGTTTGGGAACTACGTGTTGTTCAACCTGCTGGTAGCTATTCTGGTGGAGGGATTTCAGGCTGAGGTGAGTCATTTCAACCGCTTCAGTGCTTCATTGATTAGACGGTCTGATTCAGTTTGATTCCTGGAGCTGCACATTGATTCTAAACAATGAATCAGAACAGTTGAAATTAATTATTTTACTTTTAATACCTTTTGATAATAATAACTCCTGATTTGTAGATGGAGGCAAAACGGTTCTTCAGTTTTATTTGGTAATGTTAGGTAATGCATTATCTAAATTGAACTATCCGTTAGCAATATATTTTTTATGGCATTTATTAATCCTTCTTAATGTTAGTCATTGTTGGTTCATGTTAATTCACAGTGCATTAATTAATGTTAACAGATACAGCTATGGATTTTAAAAATATATATTAGTAAATGTAAAAATGTACATTAGTTAAGATTAATAAATGCAGTAGAATTGAGTTAAAAAATGAAACCTTATTGTAAAGGATTAATTGAATTTGATTATTTTTAATGCTTTTGTGGTGAAATGTTATTTAATTTATTTTTGTTTGCGTTTTTGATCATAATTTTGTTGGTCACACTTTAGTTTGGGGACCAATTCTCACTATTAACTAACTATTGACTATTACTTTTGCCTCAAAAAACTCTCAATTTGCTGCTTATTAACAATAAAGGTCTTTGCACACTGAGTCCGAAATTTTCGTATACGTTTTTTTTATTTGTTTCGTATTCGTCATGCTTTCCTATCAAAATACTTGCTACGGATGCGAAAACGCAGAAAACCAAACCTGCTCTGAATTTTTTATGACGGACGAAAGTTTCAGAGGCAGTGTGTAAACGTGATTGACACAATGTGAGGTCGTATTTACTTTTTAATGTGTGAAAATTTCGGACGAGAATTTCGTGCAAAGACCTTTAGTAAGGTAGTTGTTAACTTTAGGTATGGGGCTTAAGATTAAGGGATCTAAAATATGGTAATGCAGAATAAGGCATTGATGTGTGCTTTACAAGTACTAATAAACAGCCAATGTGCTAGTAATATGCATGCTAATAAGCAACTAGTTAATAGTGAGAATTGGTCCCTAAACTGAAGTGCTCCTCTTTATTGGTAGAATAAGAGAGTTGCAGCAAGCAAAATATAAATAGTTTCTTTATTGGGAAAGACATAATGTAGATTGTAAAGGCTTGATAGAACTGGCTGGAAGACCTGCCAAGAGAGCATTGCAATAGTCCAGCCTGGACAGAACAAGAGCTTGAATAAGGAGCTGTGAAGCATGTTTTCACACACACACACACACACACACACACACACACACACACACACACACACACACGAATCTCTCCTCACATGTGTGTGTGTGTGTGTGCAGATCCTGACTCAGGAGGACTGGAACGTGGTCCTGTATAACGGCATGGCCTCCACGTCTCCTCTGGTGGCTCTGTACTTCGTGGCTCTGATGGCGTTTGGGAACTACGTGTTGTTCAACCTGCTGGTAGCTATTCTGGTGGAGGGATTTCAGGCTGAGGTGAGTCATTTCAACCGCTTCAGTGCTTCATTGATTAGACGGTCTGATTCAGTTTGATTCCTGGAGCTGCACATTGATTCTAAACAATGAATCAGAACAGTTGAAATTAATTATTTTACTTTTAATACCTTTTGATAATAATAACTCCTGATTTGTAGATGGAGGCAAAACGGTTCTTCAGTTTTATTTGGTAATGTTAGGTAATGCATTATCTAAATTGAACTATCCGTTAGCAATATATTTTTTATGGCATTTATTAATCCTTCTTAATGTTAGTCATTGTTGGTTCATGTTAATTCACAGTGCATTAATTAATGTTAACAGATACAGCTATGGATTTTAAAAATATATATTAGTAAATGTAAAAATGTACATTAGTTAAGATTAATAAATGCAGTAGAATTGAGTTAAAAAATGAAACCTTATTGTAAAGGATTAATTGAATTTGATTATTTTTAATGCTTTTGTGGTGAAATGTTATTTAATTTATTTTTGTTTGCGTTTTTGATCATAATTTTGTTGGTCACACTTTAGTTTGGGGACCAATTCTCACTATTAACTAACTATTGACTATTACTTTTGCCTCAAAAAACTCTCAATTTGCTGCTTATTAACAATAAAGGTCTTTGCACACTGAGTCCGAAATTTTCGTATACGTTTTTTTTTATTTGTTTCGTATTCGTCATGCTTTCCTATCAAAATACTTGCTACGGATGCGAAAACGCAGAAAACCAAACCTGCTCTGAATTTTTTATGACGGACGAAAGTTTCGGAGGCAGTGTGTAAACGTGATTGACACAATGTGAGGTCGTATTTACTTTTTAATGTGTGAAAATTTCGGACGAGAATTTCGTGCAAAGACCTTTAGTAAGGTAGTTGTTAACTTTAGGTATGGGGCTTAAGATTAAGGGATCTAAAATATGGTAATGCAGAATAAGGCATTGATGTGTGCTTTACAAGTACTAATAAACAGCCAATGTGCTAGTAATATGCATGCTAATAAGCAACTAGTTAATAGTGAGAATTGGTCCCTAAACTGAAGTGCTCCTCTTTATTGGTAGAATAAGAGAGTTGCAGCAAGCAAAATATAAATAGTTTCTTTATTGGGAAAGACATAATGTAGTTGTTTCTGATTGGAATTCATGCTGTTCAGGGAGGTTTGTGCAGCTCGTCACGTTCATCCTCACCAGATTCTCTATTTCTGTAAATCTATTTCTGTAAAAAAAGTCTCTTTGACTTTGTGAAAACACTTAGCCAGCTGTTGTTTGAGTGCTGTCCTGTTCTTCATGCTGATGTGAGCCGTGTGTTTCAGGGTGATGCCAATCGCTCGTACTCTGATGATGATGATGATGAAGGATCTTCCTCTAATGGAAGTGAACAGCACAAAAACTCGCTCACGTCCTCCGGTACGATCCCTGCACATTCACTCTCATTAAATAATCCGTCAACTATAGTCAGCTCAATGCCGTGTTTCATTTGTCACGAATGGACACAAGTTGGTGGGAAATAGATGAGCAGTTGAATCATGTTGTACTTACCTTAGTGTAGATGAAGTCCATGAAACATTGAAAAACACTGGATTTTGGAATGAACTGCATCTCTTCCATCAATGTGTTTGACTTGACTTATTATTAATGTGATGTTGATTTGGACTCCTATTCAAATCTGTGCACACTGATTCCCGATGTAAAGCCAGTCTGATTGCAGAAAACACTTTATGTCCTGTAAACATCACGTATGCATCTACTCAACCAGTGTTGTTACTCTTGATTGAGATGTTAAACTGGTGAAATCTGAGCGTCTTTTATTGTTTAATCCTGTGGGACACTTTTGATGGACTGTTAATCCTCCAGTTTCTGCGTTTCTGTGGCTGTAAAGGGCGAGAAACTCCACAGGGACTCATGAAGGAGACATTAGTGTCGTCTCCGGAGAGCTTCACAGCGTGTGTTGATGGCCAGAGATCTGCTCTTGGCTTTGGATGACTGCTGTTTCTTTCTTCCAGATCCCAAGCTGTCGTCTCTCACTCCCAATGGGCATCTGGATCTGGCGCCGCTGGCGGAGGAGAAGACCAGGACCGACTTCTCCGAGGAAAACCACCGGAGCAGAACCATCTGCTTGGGCAGGAGATCCTCGTCTCTGGTCAGTCGATGAAGAAATCCATGCCATCACGTCATGTGTGTGTTTGTGTGTCTGTGGATGTAATGAGTCCAGGAAACATTAGTGCAGATTAATGTTTGGAATTAGAAAATCCCTCAAGCAGAGACTCGTCTGAGTGTGTGTGTGTGTGTGTGTGTTTGCGAGAGACCAAAATTCTCTTGATAATGTGCGACGGACGCTCAGCCAAGGCTTTTGGGGTTTCCATAGCAACCCCTCTTTTAATTGAAGCAGCCATGTGTATCGAGAGAGACGAGCGTGAGCCGCTTTGGGTTAAATATAGTGTGTTGGGCTGTTGTTCTTGAAGTCACGTGCCGTCGAACAGTCTCTGGGAACATGGTAAAACACGGTAAAACCTGTGAATATTCAGACAGAAACAGCTTGCACACTGCATACAGAATGAAATGTTTCTTGCTGCATTAATCACTCATCCTAATGATGTCGAGTCACTAAACGTGACATCTGAACTGTGTCACTGTATTGATGTGAACGCTGAGGTTTCACCTAGCATCATGTCAAAACGAGAGCTTGACGCCGGAGAACACACGTTTCTATGGCAACTGCTTTTGCCGCTCATGCTGCTAAAAATGAGCGAATGCAGTCAGATCGGACTGCAATTACCACACACACGCGACTGCGTGAAGTTAACTCATCCGCACCGCTTAAAGAGTCTTTAGGAGCCAGGGGATGATTCACGAAACATTCAAGAATAAAATACTTCCTAGCTGGAATTTTCTTCTTATTTTCTTTCTTAAGAAAAACGTTAAGAATATTTTCTCTTCCGAAACATACTTCTTAAGAATGCTCTTATATTTTCCATTTAGATTGTTCACATTTTTTAAAATAATCTTCTTAAAAGCTATTTTAAAATTACTTCTTGCGTTAGGATAGCCTCGTCTTAAATCCCTAGAGGTAAGATGTTGCTTGAATTAAAAATCTTTACAATTTAAAATGAGACATTTTCAAATTAATTGCATTAAAACACAACATTATAATACTTAAAGGGTTAGCTCATCCAAAAATGAAACTTAGCCCATGTTTTATTCACCCTCAAAGCATCCTAGGTGTATATGACTTTCTTCTTTCAGACGAATCCAATCGGAGTTATATTAAACATTGAGGCCTTTATTCACCCCCCGGAGCCATGTGAGGCATGTTTTATTATGGATGCGCGCACTTTATTTGACTGCTTTTGGACTGTTGAACAAAAACGCTTGGAAGAGCAAGGATAATTTTTAATATAACTCTGATTGGATTCATCTGAAAGATGAAAGTCATACACACCTAGGATGCTTTGAGGGTGAGTAAAACATGGGATCATTTTTATTTTTGGGTGAACTAACCCTTTACTACTACTGGCTATGGATGTGCATGAGTTGGCACCAATGATTGATAATGTAAACAATAATCAATAATGGTTATGCATGCTGCAACTTTTTACTGAATTCAAAATTTAATAACAATACAAAAACAAGTGAGATAGGGAGCTTGTTTTTAATTTTAGCCTATACAGTAGTGGCCAAAATTATTAGAACACCCGACAGATCTGAAAATATTGACCTTCTTTTTTGCCTCCAAAACATAATTTCATTTCATGATGTTCATGAAGCATGCAGATGGTTGCTGTGAGCACAACAAATGTCAGATGAAGTGAGTCGTACTGTTATTATACACTTTTAACGTTAATATTTGGTATGTGCACCTTTTTGCAGCAATTACAGCAGCACATCTCTCTGGCATAGTGTCAGTATATTTCCTGAGAACTTCAACATTAATGTTATCCCATGCCTTCTGCAACTCAAGCCAAAGTACAATAGATCTGTGCAGTTTATTTTCCAACTCGCCCCGAACTTGCTCGATGGGGTTGAGGTCCGGACTTTGAAGGGCCAGTCCATCACCACACACACGCGACTGCGTGAAGTTAACTCATCCGCACCGCTTAAAGAGTCTTTAGGAGCCAGGGGATGATTCACGAAACATTCAAGAATAAAATACTTCCTAGCTGGAATTTTCTTCTTATTTTCTTTCTTAAGAAAAACGTTAAGAATATTTTCTCTTCCGAAACATACTTCTTAAGAATGCTCTTATATTTTCCATTTAGATTGTTCACATTTTTTAAAATAATCTTCTTAAAAGCTATTTTAAAATTACTTCTTGCGTTAGGATAGCCTCGTCTTAAATCCCTAGAGGTAAGATGTTGCTTGAATTAAAAATCTTTACAATTTAAAATGAGACATTTTCAAATTAATTGCATTAAAACACAACATTATAATACTTAAAGGGTTAGCTCATCCAAAAATGAAACTTAGCCCATGTTTTATTCACCCTCAAAGCATCCTAGGTGTATATGACTTTCTTCTTTCAGACGAATCCAATCGGAGTTATATTAAACATTGAGGCCTTTATTCACCCCCCGGAGCCATGTGAGGCATGTTTTATTATGGATGCGCGCACTTTATTTGACTGCTTTTGGACTGTTGAACAAAAACGCTTGGAAGAGCAAGGATAATTTTTAATATAACTCTGATTGGATTCATCTGAAAGATGAAAGTCATATACACCTAGGATGCTTTGAGGGTGAGTAAAACATGGGATAATTTTTATTTTTGGGTGAACTAACCCTTTACTACTACTGGCTATGGATGTGCATGAGTTGGCACCAATGATTGATAATGTAAACAATAATCAATAATGGTTATGCATGCTGCAACTTTTTACTGAATTCAAAATATAATAACAATACAAAAACAAGTGAGATAGGGAGCTTGTTTTTAATTTTAGCCTATACAGTAGTGGCCAAAATGATTAGAACACCCGACAGATCTGAAAATATTGACCTTCTTTTTTGCCTCCAAAACATAATTTCATTTCATGATGTTCATGAAGCATGCAGATGGTTGCTGTGAGCACAACAAATGTCAGATGAAGTGAGTCGTACTGTTATTATACACTTTTAACGTTAATATTTGGTATGTGCACCTTTTTGCAGCAATTACAGCAGCACATCTCTCTGGCATAGTGTCAGTATATTTCCTGAGAACTTCAACATTAATGTTATCCCATGCCTTCTGCAACTCAAGCCAAAGTACAATAGATCTGTGCAGTTTATTTTCCAACTCGCCCCGAACTTGCTCGATGGGGTTGAGGTCCGGACTTTGAAGGGCCAGTCCATCATTTTTAGTTCCGGCAATAGTTCATTTTATGGGTTTTGTAATAGCAAATTCAACATCATTATAGGGTGGATGTGTACACACACTTCCAACACACATTTATGTTCAAACAACAACAAAAGTGAATTTTGCATCCGATGACCCCTTTAAGAAGATTTTTGTGAATCCAGCCGCAGGACGTAAAAAATTATGTTTCATATTTGAGAACTACTTAAGAATTTTTCAAGAATTGCACTTAGGGACAGAAATTAAGGGACTTAGTTTCTTAACTCCTCTCTTAAAAATATTTTTGTAAACCTGGCTCCAGGAGTGAACAAGTTTCCTTCTTTCTCTGTAGCGCCACAGCCGCAGTTCCCATTACCACCACTGGGGGCGTCCTCCCCCTCAGCTGTCCTGGAGCCGGCGGTGTAGCTGGAACAGCGCGGGTCGCTCCACCCATGGCCTGAGGGCCGGAGGGGTCATCGGGGGGAGCTTACGGGTCCGCAGCGTTCACTCGAACCCCACCGAACACGAGTCTCTCCTGCCCCACCCGCCATTCCTGTCGCGCCGACACCGCCGCGCTTTATCACTCGATCTGCCTGAGCTCCTGCAGCGCCCCCCGCTGGTCCGGAAGAAGAGCGTGTCTGCTGAACACCATGACTGCAATGGGAAGGGCCCGGGCCCTCAGGGGACGCTGCTGGGAGAGGTTTATCCAGAGCTCAACGCACGCAAAGACAAGCACGACCTGGAGGAAGACACAGAATATGTGAGTGCAGAACAACATCCTGTTAAAAACGGCTATAAGTGTTTCTTATAAATGAGGTTTTGTTGTCAAGTCTTAATGTTTACAATGAGGAAGAGTTCCTCTTCACTACAGATAAATAAATGGATGGATGGACAGACAGATTAACGAATAGATGGATGGATTGATGGATAGATAGGTAGGTAGGTAGACAGATGGAAGGGCAGAGACGGATGGATGGATGATGGGTAGATAAGTGGATAGACAGGAGGATAGGCAGATATCCATTTATATGTCTATCTATCCATCTTTCTGCCTATCTATTCACCTGTCTATCCATCTATACATCTACCTATCTGTCTATCGGCCTATCTATCTACCTGTGTGTCCATCTATACGTCTATCCATCTATCTGCCCATTTATCCACCTGTTTATACATCTATACATCTACCTGTCTGTATATCTGCCTATCTACTTACCTGTCTATATGTAGGCAGATAGACAGATAGATAGATGTATAGATGTATAGACAGGTGGATGTATAGGCCGATAGACAGATAGATAGATGTATAGATGGTTAGAGAGGTGGACAGACAGATGTGCTGTTGCTTTCAGCGGTCAGTAAGTGTTCAGTTCTCTCAGCTCTGCTGTTGAATCCATTATGCTAATTTCAGATGATTTTCTCTGAGAAGCAGCACATGAAAAGTGGAATAAAGTTACACATTCTCTCTGAGCCTGACGATCTCTCACAGTTTTAAAAGTCCTTTAGGAAGCTCTTCCTCTCAGTGAAGTGATTTAAAAACGCTATTGTGAATCAGTTTGAGCGTATCATTAGATCGATTCACTGCTGAGCGGCACATCGTCACGTCTGAGGAGAATCTCTGCTCATTTTAGCGTTTAATAAACGTCTTGTAAGTGAAATACAGCAGCAGTAGATTCACAGACGTGTGTGTGTGGAGGATAGACAACATGAAGAAGCTCATTATGAACAATAACAGCAAACACAATAGCCAAACTCTGCTGGGTCACAGCAGCTGTCCGTTCACATGAATATGGATGTAATGCGTTAATCCTCATATTTTACTCCGTTTATTGGAAACGTCTCCCAGGGAAAATTAAACTGTTATTCAAAATAAATTGGAAGAGTTGCCTTTATCTCAGATAACCTGTGTGTGTGTGTGTGTGTGTGTGTGTCGCAGAGCCTCTGCTTCCGTATCCAGAAGATGATGGAGGTCTATCGTCCGGACTGGTGTGAGAAGAGAGAGGATTGGTCCGTTTACTTATTCTCCCCTCAGAACAAGTATGAACTCACATACACTCTCAGTGTGTTCAAACAGTGTAATGTTCGAATTATGAATTATGTTTTTCAGCGGTGTAATTATTTGTGCAGTGTTACTTCATTACTACAATTAATCTGTACTTTTACTTGAGTTCTATTAAAATACTTGTGTGAATACTTGAACTTTTACTCAGTTACAATGAAAAATAATCATTTTTACTCCATTGCAATTTCATGTAGACAAAAGTACAAAGTACTGTACTTATGTCATATGACTTCAATTGTTTCTCAATTATTAAAAAAAAATATATAGATTTTCTTTATTCTAATGTGAATTCAAAAAGTGAGGGTGATGAAAATATTGACGTAACGGATTTCAGTTTAACATCTGCTGTGTTCAAGAGCTTTACATAGAACAATGAGAAAATAGTCTTTTTTGACAGGTGTTGCATCAAAAATACTAAAATGAGAAAATCTCTACTGCCTCTTGATTTCAAACGTCATATTAACTCTTTCCCCGCTAGCATTTTTGATGATTTTCTCTAAAATTCCATGGCCCCCAGAATATTTTGTTTTAATAATTTCTGAACATGCAATACATCAAAATAAAGTACAGACTCTCTACTTTTAAACAAAAGTATTATTATTTTTTCCATTCCATTTTATCCGAACTTCAAGCATTCTTTTTTTTATCAACACTTGAATGTAGGTAGGTTTAGTAGAAAAAGCATTGCTCGTTTCTTCGTCTTCCTTGTCTGTGTTTTTGATCGGCACATTCTAGACCAGTGTTTCTTATTATAAGTCTCTTATTTTATAATTCTATAGTCTTTGGAGTTGGAACTTTGGCTTCATTTATGATCAGACACTTGACGGAGATCTGCGTTTTCATCAACTTACAGGTTATAAAGTTTTTTGCAGCTATATTGGCGCTCAGTTTTTCTTGTGTTTAATACATTTGGCCAAAATCTCATGATGTAAAAGACGAAGCGCTATGCACAGGACATTTAAAACGTTCAAAAGTATATTGGCTGTTGGCTGCAACTAGGCGGCAAATAAGACTCTTCTCCGCTCTTCAAACACACAAAAAACATTAGCCTTTACAGACATAGTGTGTCTTGAGTAAAGAAAACGCTGTACTTATTTCAAACATCAGTTATTTACCCTTGCATTGCAAACAAGCAGAGATCTGTCTCCGTGTTTGGCAGGGAAAGAGTTCATAAGCTTAGAAAACATTTTCATTTAAGTACAGTTTGTTAGTGGAACGCTTGATCTGGTGTGAAATGCAGTCACTCTGCTGTGTATCGTGTCTGAACGCCCTTCAGACAGCTCTGTATATCGACTGTATCACACTGGCTCTCGTCTTGCCGCCTCAGACTCCTGCTGCTCTGCTGAGCTCTGAAGCATCTGGTCTGGTCGAGTCTGGTCTGTATTGACCCATCAGGATGGGTTTTCCTCATGTGGTCTGTCAGATGTTCTTCATCAGAATCAGTTTAAATGAGACTCACAGATCTGATTAGAGTCCTTCTGATAGCGGGAAGAGTCCATCAGAGACGCCGCTCTACATGACAGAACACACACGTGAAGTTACTCAGAGACTGCAGAAGGGCAAATGTGACCGCTGAGAGTCTCAGGCCTGTTGCACAGCATGTGATCATTTCAGCACTCATATGAGCAGATCACATTGTGGGGATAAAGCAGATGCTTTGGGTGAAGAACTTGTCACTGGATATATCAGAGGTCAGCAGCCTGTGATGCGTGAAGAGCTTGGACAAGCCATTAGTGATCACTGCACAAACTGCAATGCATTTTTTTAATGACATTTTAGGAACTTTTATATTTCAAAAGAATAAAAATCCTTATATGTCTATAAATGCTATTTAATTATACTATATATAAATACTTATACATGCATATATACATACATACACATATATATAGATGTATATGTGTGTGTGTGTATGTGTGGTGTGGAGGATTTATGATCTAATATTCTGAGGTTTTCTCTCCAGGATTTTTCAGGAGTTTTGTTTGATGTGTTTAGTGGCAGCTAATCCTTTCTGAAGGAATGTCTGTGAAATAATCAGTATTAATACTCTTTGCAGATCGTAGCACTATTATTTCAACTATTTCAAATAAAGGACACATAAAACAAAATAGACTGTGATTGTTGATTGTTTTATTTAGTTAAAGTAAAAATGTCCACAAATTCATTTTAGTATTAATTTTTGTTATGCAGCATACGATACAATTTCATCAGTTAGCCTTAAGATCTCAACAATATCAAAACTAAAGCAGACTAGAAACACAAAGTAATAGTGGTGGACTGAAGACTAACTGTCTCTCTGTCGGTCTCTCTGCAGGTTTCGTCTGCTGTGTCAGACGATCATCGCTCATAAGCTCTTTGACTATGTGGTTCTGGCTTTCATCTTCCTCAACTGCATCACAGTGGCTCTGGAGAGACCCAGAATCCATCAGGGCAGTCTGGTACGGTTCCTCACTCTCTTTCACAGTCTCGTCTGGCAGGAGTGACACCGTGATTTTCAGCGCCGCATGAATACTGTCACATCAGCGCTTGAGCTTCACACGGGAGAAACCAATGGGAAACTCCAGCTTTAATTCCACCTGAACGATCTGCGCAGATCACGACGGTGTAGCATCACATCCTACAATCAGACAGAAATAAAAAAAACTAAAACTTGTTTTATGCAATGTTTTCTCAAAATATATTAAACATACTAAACTGAACATGTGTATCACTCATTGAAAACAGTCATGCACCCTAGTAAAGACTTATCAACCACCAGAACACCCTAGCGACCACTTCGAAACCAACAAGAACACTCCACCATGTACCAACATTACAAAACACCCTAGTTACAACTTTTCAACACCCTAGCAACCACTTAGCAACCAAAAAGAACACTCCACCATGTACCAACATTATAAAACACCCTAGTAACAACTTTTCAACATCTTAGCAGCCACTCGCAAGACCCTAACAACCACTTGGCAACCAACAAGAACACTCCATCATGTACCAACAATACCAAACACCCTAGAAACAACTTTTCAATACCCTAGCAACCACTTAGCAACCAACAAGAACACTCCACCATGTTCCAACAATACCAAACACCCTAGAAACAACTTTTCAACACTCTAGCAACCACCAAGAACATCCCACCAACTATGTATCAACAATACAAAACAGCCTAGTAACACATTTTCATGCCCTAGCAACCACCCACAACACCCTAGCAACCAACAAGAACACTCCACCATGTACCAACAATACTAAACACCCTTGAAACAACTTTTCAACACCCTAGCAACCACCAAGAACATCCCACCAACTATGTATCAACAATACAAAACAGCCTAGTAACAACTTTTCAATGCCCTAGCAACCACCCACAACACCCTAACAACCACTTTGCAACCAACAGGAACATCACACCAACTATGTATCAACAATACAAAACAGCCTAGTAACAACTTTTAAACACCCTAGCAGCCACTCTCAACACCCTAACAACCATTTAGCAACCAACAAGAACACTCTACCAACTATGTATCAACAATACAAAACAGCCTAGTAACAACTTTTCAAGACCTTAACAACCACTTAGCAACCAACAAGAACACTCCACCATGTAACAACAATACCAAACACCCTATAAACAACTTTTCAACACCCTAGCAACCACCAAGAACACTCCACCATGTACCAACATTACAAAACATACCTAGAAACAACTTTTCAACACCCTAGCAACCACTTAGCAACCAACAAGAACACTCCACCATGTAGCAACAATAGAAAACAGCCTAGTAACAACTTTTCAATGCCCTTGCAACCACCCACAACACCCTAGCAACCACTTAGCAGCCAACAAGAACACTCTCCCAACTATGTATCAACAATAAAAAACACCTAACAACTTTTCAATACCCTAACAACCATCACAACACCCTAACAACCACTTAGCAGCCAACAAGAACACTCTCCCAACTATGTATCTATTTCTTCATATTTTTGCTCAGTTTGAATCTCTGAATAAAATTGTGCTGTTTTTTCTTTCACGCTCTCACTATATCAGACTATATTAGCTATAAATATCAAATATGATACTCAACAAAAAGTGTATACACACGTATTTTTAAATATCTTCTTTTATATTAAAGGGTTAATATTCTGCATGTTTTGTGTGCTTTCTGTCTCAGGTGGTTTCTAAGGGTCTGTATCTGGGGGATCGTACGTATCTGCGCAGCAGCTGGAACGTTCTGGATGGGTTTCTCGTCTTCGTGTCTCTGATTGATATTGTGGTGTCGATGACGGGCGGAGCGAAGATCCTGGGCGTCCTGCGGGTGCTCAGACTGCTGAGAACATTACGCCCGCTCAGGTGAACAACTAATTAGTTGATTAGTTACTAGACACAAGCCAGCCTCACCAGGGCTTCCTCTAGACCAACTAGTCCTTCGGAGAAGAACAGACCAGTGTTGGGGGTAACGCGAGTTACGTAATCAGATTACTTTTTTCAAGTAACTAGTAAAGTAACGCATTACTTTTTAATTTACAAGAGAATATTTGAGTTACTTTTTCAAATAAGTAACGCAAGTTACTTTGTTTCCAATTTATTGATTGACAGCTCTCCTGTCCCCATGTCGAGAGAAATCAGAAGATGTTACTGTAGCTCTAAAATAAATATGAATATGCATTAATTCATCTAAAAAAAAAAAACACAGATTCAGTATTCCTAAAAATTAAAAAAAAAAATGCAACTCAGAATATGATGCAAACCTGCAATAATTAAATGTTAAACAACACAAATATCGTTTATGTATTTAATCCCATTCTATTAACAAATGTCTTCGATGATCCAGTTCAACCGTACTAATCAGCACAAATGACTCTAGACAAACATTTGTGTGTCTTTGTTTATTGCTGAAGTGTGTTAAATGTCTTCTTCTGCATTCTACTGTACTTTCCCTTCAGCCTGAGGCTTATTCATTTCACTTTTGGTGTGAAAGGCTTTTATATTTGCCAAAAATATAACTTTTTTTATTTTAAAAACAAACAAGCAAGCCCTGTCCAGATTTAAAAAGTAACGCAAAAGTAACGTAACGCATTACTTTCCATAAAAAGTAACTAAGTAACGTAATTAGTTACTTTTTTATGGAGCAATGCAACATTGTAATGCATTACTTTTAAAAGTAACTTTCCCCAGCACTGTAACAGACTACAGGTTCATTTGATGGTCATTAATTATTAGCCAGAATTATGATGGTTAACCCTTATATTATGTTCAGTTTGACCCCAATTTGAGTCGTAGGAAATACTGGTTAACCTCGGATGTGTTGTCTTGAAATTGTCTGACTATTTCTCATTTAGGAGCATGAACATGCCTGCAAAGTTTCGACACTCTGCTGCTTCGAAACAATCTGTATTATTATATAAAGTGCTATAGATATAAAGGCGGCTGAGCTGTTGTGGAATGTACATATGAAGTTTCTATTGCAGTTGTGATGTTAGTGGGTCACGTTGACCTGAAAATTTCATGGTTTTTCAAGAAATTTCAAAGCAGCTACACAGAACGAGTTTTTTATAATTTTTTATTATTATGTTGTTATTAAAATTATGTGTATTTACATGTATACATTTGGCAGACACTTTTATTTGAAGAAATGCACATTGTGTTGTACATTTTTATCAGTTCTCGCATGTGAATTTTGCTGGGAATCAATCCCATAGTCTTGCAGTTGCTAAAGCCATCATCTAATGCTTGAGCTTCAGGACATTTTTTATATAACAATAACTATAATATACTGTAAAATTCAGATCTAGTAAAATACAAATGTTAAAAAAATGCAGCTTTAAAAGTCATATGTTTTACTCATGGTTTACTGTTTTAACATTTTTTTTCTTTATGTGAATTGTATTGAATTTATTTAGGGCCGTTTTGGGTCTCTGAGGTTGACTGTCTGTAGGTGCGGTGTGGTTCTGTGTGTTTGTGACTCGGTTCTTCACGGTTCCTCAGGGTGATCAGTCGAGCTCCGGGTCTGAAGCTGGTGGTGGAGACTCTGATCACGTCGCTGAAGCCCATCGGAAACATCGTCCTCATCTGCTGCGCTTTCTTCATCATCTTCGGCATCCTGGGAGTTCAGGTTCATCTCACATTCAGTCGACAGCGATCTCTAGTTCTGCTCCGTCATACACACACACACACACACGCGCACACGCGCGTATACACATTTAAAAGAATCCTAATGTTTGTGAAATAAGTTTCTTCTTCTCACCAAGGCTGCATTTATTTGAGCAAAAATACAGTAAAACTGTGAGATAATACTATAATTAATTTCTATTGAAATAGAAAGCTTTTGTTACATTATAAATGTCTTGATCGGTTCAATGTGTCCTTGATGACTAAAACTAATAACTTCTTATAAAAAAACAAACTCCTCTTCTTTATATTTAATATTTAGGCTGTGTTGAGCAGTGTTTATCAGCGTTGAGTGTTGTAACTGTGCGTCTGTGTTCAGCCCGTCATCAATAACAACCCCTGGATGCTGCTGTACTTCATCTCCTTCCTGCTGATCGTCAGTTTCTTCGTCTTGAACATGTTTGTGGGTGTGGTGGTGGAGAACTTCCACAAGTGCCGGCAGCATCAGGAGGTGGAGGAGGCGCGGCGGAGGGAGGAGAAGCGGCTGAAGCGCATGGAGAAGAGGAGGCGCAGTAAGACCCTACACTGTAAAAACAATTCCGTAAAAATACGGTATCAACGTTTTAGGTTTTACAGTTTTAACTTAAATTTACAGTTAAATACCATAATTTCATTAACTGATATAATCTTAATATACCAACCTATTGAAGTACTGAAGTCTGTTTTGTAGCTTTGTAATACACTGATAACCACCAAATGCAGGAGGTGATGAGAAAGTCACATGATGAACCAAAGCCCATCACAAGCAGCTTGTAAATAATAACATATATAGAAGGTGCACAGCGTCGTTCACACAAACACCAAACACCATCACGATGAGACACGTGAAACTGAAATAATGCAATAAACATTCATTTAACAACATTAGGTGTAACACACAACCCTAATATACAAAACTGATAAGAAGAAACATAGTTATTTCAACAAAAAACATCAAATTTGAAATGTAACGCAGGGAATTCTGGGAATGTCAATTGACGGTCATTTTTTACAGTGTACATATAATGCCCTGGAAAGACCGCGAGTTGGAGCGTCTCATTAGTTTCTCATCTATTCTCCATCGTTTGCGTCTCTTCTTCTTCATTTGTCTTCATCTCTTTCGCTCTCGTCTGTTATTATTCTTCGTCTTCCCGTGTCGTCTGCTGCTCTCACTCGTGTTCCTCCTCGTTCTTCTTCTCCTGAGATCCTGGGCCACATTCATCAGCGCTGACCCCATTGTTTCCTCTTCCATCCATCATCTCAGGGCCTCATTTACATGCATCCATCACTCTGTCAGTGAAAGATCAGCGTGTGTTCCTGTCAAAGCATCAGGTGATGATGATGATAGTAATAAACGCTGTGGTTGTGTTCAGAGGCCCAGCGGCTGCCGTATTACTCCTCGTACGGTCGCGTTCGGCGGATGATTCACTCGTTCTGCACCAGTCATTATCTGGACCTCTTCATCACCCTCATCATCTGCATCAATGTGGTCACCATGAGCCTGGAGCACTACAACCAACCACGGGTGAGCAGCACCGTCACATGACCTGCAGCCAATCAGATAAATATGTCCATGTCATTTTATTTTATTCAACTTTAATTTTATACAATTTTAAATTACATTTTTATTTTATATATATATATTATTTTTATGGTTTTAGTTATTTTAGTATCAGTTTAGAATCAGTTTTTATTTGTATATTTTATGTTTTCATTTCAATGTAGAAATTGTTGTTATCATTTTTAGTAGTTTTTTAAAATGTTTATATAACTAATTTCAGTTTTAGTTATTTTAGTACATTAATTTAAATTCATGTATTCATGAAGGCTTTAAGTAAAGTGTTACTAAATTTACTAGAAATGTCTCCTACACCAATTGTTTTCATTTTAGAAATGAATTAAATGAATAAAAAGTCTGTATGAAGGGCATAAACTAAATGGCGTTGGTGAGGTAATGCACTGTGATTCCATGGAGTCTGTTTTGGAGCGTTTGAGCATTTTAGTCACTACTGAGATGAAACATGAAATCATTTTGAAAGCATAACACAGAGCAACAGAAGTGTGTGAGCAGTAGTTCAGATTCTGTGTGATCTTCATTTAGAGAGACTCCGACTGAACTTCTCTGAGATGTTTGTGTCTCTCCCGTGACATTCAGTGTGTTTTTGTCTCAATTTCACAGTTCTGAAGTTGTTGAAGATGGCCACAGGAATGAGAGCGCTGCTCGATACCGTGGTGCAGGCATTACCACAGGTACACACACACACACACACACTCTTACACACACTCACACACACTCACATGCACACACACACACACACACACACACATGCACACACACACACTCTTACACTCTTACACACACGCACGCACGCACTCACACACACACATAAAATGATCTAAATATCAGTCGTCGCTCTATATCTCCAGTAATCTGTCTCAGTGAGATGAGAGTGAAATGCTCCAAACATATAATGCAGTGATTGAGAGCTGAAGAAATAAAGGCTCCTCAGAAGATGTGAGATGTTCTGGAGGCTTGTGAAGATCATTCCTCCGCTGAGGAACAGTGAAAGTAAAGCTTCTGGAAACAAACGCTCCTCAAAAGATCCTGAGGATCAGATTTGAGACTCTAAAACATGATTGATGGAGAATCAAGTAAAGCTGAGCTGCTTCAGTGCAGTAAGTGTTCATCTGGAGATATGACTGCAGTTATTCTGACGCTTACTTGATCAAAATCAGTCAAGATTTGAGAACAGAAAGACTCGTGATGCAGCAGCTGAAGCTGGACGTTTCTACAATTACACTAAAAGAGCTTTGACTGGATAAAAAACTCCAAACTATCAATCAGACCACAGAAGACAAGCAGCAGATTGAGTGTGAAACAAGTTTAACTGCAAAGTTGATCATGTTTATCACTTAGAGCCTTAGGAATATGCATATCAAAGATGACTGTGTCTCAGCAGACAGATCTGATTTCAGCATCTACACAATAACATTCAGTTCTAAAGTTGCAGAGAAGCGTCTGGCGTGTGAATGAAGCGTTAGACATGCTCTCAACACGTCGTTTCAAGAGTCATTGAGTGTTCAACACGGCTGTGAGCGCCTGACACAAACACATTAAACAGATGGCGTCGATCTACAAACCTCCTTTCACATGATTAACTGCGCCGATGATCACACTTCAGTCCTGTAAATGTGTCAATAGTAACTTAATTCATGCAATTTAATATCTATATTTATATAAAACCACTGTGTGTGTTTGGGTAAAGTGTATGTGAGGAATAATGTGAATAAGCTTTTGTTTTCTCGAGCTCTCGCCGGGCTCAGATGGGCTTCCGGCACGTCTAATGGAAGGGAATTAACCTTGAATATAAGCAATAAAGCAGCTGTGAGCGCATGACCAGCACAAACCACATTCTGGGAATTAAATGACTTTCATTCTGAGTATTGAAGGCTGCTTTAGTGTTGGAGATGAGCTCGGCACCTCACGACGGACACACAAACACTGCTGATGTGTGTATGTGTGTGTGTGTGTGTGTGTGTATGTATGTGTATGT